TTCATATGTCTCTAAAGAATTTTACCTTTTGTTTTTATTACTAACTTTAAACATTTTTTTCTGTTTCTGATCTTTCACCATAACAGAACTGACAACCTCATTCAACAGTATAACGATTATGACGAAGTCTATTTCATCATTACTTATTATCCTTATCTTCTTCTTCTTCCTAACAGCTATTGTTGAAGTAACTCCTAATGCACATTTTGATCAACCATATACTGACGATTTTCAATCACATTGGTTAACTAATTCTAATGATTTATTAAAATGATGGTTTGATCATAAACGAGTGATTGATTCAAATAGAAATCGTGCTGCTGCATCATCATTATTCAATGTTCTACATCCCGTTATTCCATTTAAAGGTTAAATATGATCACTATTATATTCTTCTTGAATCAACTGTTTATTTTTATCTAGGATGTATTGATCCATCGGAACTATTTCAATGTCCTCAAAGTCAACAATGTATTGCTTTCCAATTTATTTGTGATTGTCCTGATAATCTTGATGGAAATGAAGAAACATGTATTGCAGCTAAGCGTTCAGCAGAGGAAAATATTGAAAAATTTCTTCATGCTGCATATACATTACATGGTTCAAAATTATTTACATTTCTATTTGGCGAAAAAACTTTCGAGAAGTATTGATGAAAATAAAATATTTTGGTTTGATACATTAACATCAGCATTTTCTGGTAAGATTTCTTTCTTATTTTTACTGATAAAAGATAGTTATTATTTTTTAGTGTCGAAAAATATTCATAGTTTTACTGGAAAAACATTTATGTCATCAAATGATCTAGCACATTTCCGAAATATTTTTTCAATCAATTCATGATGGTCGATTAGAAGATATTCCTTTATTTGCACAAGAAGCTGTTAATCAAGGTCTTGCAGCCTTAGTTGAAAAGCTCTATGACTCGGGATTTATGGATTAATTAATAAAAAGATAAAGAAAAAAAGATAAATTTTGTTCATATGATTTTTGAAAATTAATAAATAAATGAGAGCATTATGAACTTTTCGTCTTTTAGAATCATCGATATGTCATTTATAACAAATAAAATATTTGAACTATTGAAGTTTTAGGGTGTGGGTGTGGGTGTGGTTGTATTGTTAAAGTAGATCAGTTTTTATTTCAAAAGCTTATATATCGTCATAAAAAAAAGTTCTCATATTAATATTACAGCTAAAACACTATATCAAAAATTCATTTAATTATTTTCATCATAATTAGTATATTTTTTGTCTCTATTTTGTGCTCTTTCTTTTTGTTTCTTTTTGTCATATCTTGTTCTTTGTAAATCTCGATGATTTACTTCCACATTATAAGTTACTTTTAACAATTCAACTAGTCGTTCAATAACAGCGACTGATCGATGTTGACCTTGTTCACATCCAACTGCTAGTTTTATTGAATTTTTCTTTTGATTATGAATGAAACTTGATAGTTGTTCCGTAATCATTTTAATTATATCTTCATATTCCACTAAATTTAATCATTCATTTTGTATTCGTTTATGTCGTCCATCATATTGCTGATAGTTTTCAACATTAGCTGTTGGAAAATGACGTACTGAATACAATAAATCAATATTTTGGGGAACACCAAATGAAATTAATTCAATAGTAATATCTTCAACTTTAACAATTAATACGAAATTATATTTTTATAACGTTAGAAACGAATTAAACCTCAGTATACAAGGTTGATTTTATACCATGTTAAAGAAGGAAAAACAAAATTTCAGTAAGAAGACAGTGTCGTCAGACAACAAACATGAGTCACGATTCTGATGTTTTTTTCGTAATTACACGTGTTACAAAAATGACATACAGTAAAATAGATACTTTTTATAGTTCTATACAGTACATTCTAACCTATAATAAACATTTCAGAAATTTCATAATCGATTATCATATCTAGTATTACGTTTGAAAGATCACAAAAAAGTTTGTTAACATCTTTGATAAATATTTTCACCTCGATATTGAAAGCACGATTTCAAGGCTGTCACAGTTATCCTAAAATGGAGTCGAATTTATATACGTTCGAAGTACAAATGACACTGACTTATATAGCTGATTCATTATCGATCATCATCTGTAAAACATTTTTTAGAAGAAAACAGATCTTAACTTTTGGTTTTTCTTTTTTTTTAATTATTCTGAAATGTGAAAAACACAATATCGAACCTTGTACCGTATTTTTTTATGATAAAAAGAGTAGATAAAACTTGATGTTTTGATAAAATTTATCTACCGTGCGTTTCTACCATTATATACTTATGTTTCACTTCATTTTCGGTCACTTTTATGACGAATATTGTAGAAAATGATGTACAAGACAGTTCTCTTTTACCAGATTTTTTTCATTCGTTTGAAGTGACGGAATCACCGGGGGAGCGCAGCTCTTCTTAGGAAATTTGGACTTTAATTGAGCTGTTAAACTTTTGTTTCGAAGAGCTTTAACTCGTATTTTGAATATTGAAGTGAAGCGCAGTGCTAGTGGTGAAAAGTACCTCCCTTGAGTTGTTGGAAATGTAACGACAAATTTCTGCGGATTTGCAGATAGTTTTTAATGAGTTTTCTTCGATTTTATAGCCAGTTTCTACAAACTATCATTGAATGATATTTGTGACTCGATTGTTACCGATGCTTCACTATCTTCGTCATTTTCAATATGGCTATCATTAGCAGCAATCATTTTTTCGGCTAAGTACTAATATTATAACTTATGATATTCTTAACTAACAGTGTACAATAGACAGACGATTGTATACAATGAATTGAAAGATTTGGATGATTCGTAGAAAATACTTCAGAAAGAAAAATACATCGGTAAAGAACAGCCTCAGCAAGTGGAGTACCAAGAATTCATCGGATATGTGTGCAATAATGATTTATTAGAACTGAAATTGAGTTAAAAATGAAAAGCAGATAATATTTTAGAAAGTAGAAGAAAATTGAAAAAGCAGAAATGACAGAAAAAAAGCAAAAGAGGTGACAACCTTGGCCGCAAAGTTTTATTGAAATTCATAATATAGAGTGAAGATAAATGTTAGTGTAAATCGTGCAATGTTTTATAAGAGTAATGTACTTAGTAGAGTAGTAAAATATTAATGAATAAATAAAGGTTAGTCATCGATAAGTCTTAACAATGCAAGAGAACACTGACGGTGTTCGAAATCCGGTTTGCAACAACAATATCGGGTTTATTGTCGCTATTTACATCGACGACTGCTACTGAATATGGAGAAGTACCAACTGCGTAAGTAGTTTGATTATAAAAGGTGCCGTTGCCTGCGTTGAGAAGAACACCGACGGTGTACGAACCTTGGTTTGCAACAATAATATCGGATTTATTGTCGCTATTCACATCGACGACTGCTACTGACATTGGGTTAGTGCCAACTGAGTAAGTAGTTTGGGCTCCAAAGGTGCCATTGCCTGTGTTCAGAAGTACACCGACGGTGCCCGACCCACCGTTTGCCACAATAATATCGGATTTATTGTCGGTATTCACATCGACGACTGCTACTGAAGATGGAGAAGTACCAACTGCGTAAGTAGTTTGATTAAGAAACGTACTGCAGCCTATTAAATACAAAAGGTTTGTTCTTACATCTGTACTGCTATATAGACAGTATTCAATGGTCGTATTTTATTCAATCTTTGAGAGTTTAACTTAACTGAACATAATTTATTCGAAAAGATCATGTGACTGGATTTTGGGCAATTTCAAATATTCTAGAGCACAATTAAAGTCAATTTTTGGCGATTCTGTCCATCCCTACGTGAAATCGTCTTGTAAATTTGAAGAATCTATGAAGTCATCTCACTCTACTTAAAACTTGCGCTCCTTTTAATAAAGTTTCATGATATCCTCGACTACCCATGTCATCAAAATCGGGGCCTAATCGACGATTTAATCGCGATTTAGCATCCGATTAATTGTGAGATTTATCGCGATATATCGCAATCGGCCAAGATTTCAATAAAAAGTGGTCGATTAATCGCGATTTACTTGACGATTATTTTTCGAAAAATCGCGATAAAATCGTCTGAAGTGACGATTATTTTT